ATGTTCAACAGTATCAAATGCCTTTTGGAAGTCTAAAAAAAGAATGAAGCTCTTATCTGAATAAAGGTGAGGATAATCAATGAGGTCTAAAACTAAACGAATATTATTTGAAATATGTCTGTTCCTCATGAAACCAGACTGGGTATCATCAATAATTAAGTCTAATGTCTCTTTAATTCTAACGGAAAATATAGAAGCTAAAATTTTATAATCAATATTAAGCAAGCAAATTGGTCGCCAATTGTCTAAAAACAATGTGTCTTTTTTTGGCTTCGGTATTAAAGTAATTAAGCCTTGTGTGAGGGTGGGTGGAAGCTTTTCAAGGTCTATACTCTGAGAAAAAAGTTTTAAGAGAAAAGGAGCAAGTTCTTCAGAAAAAGATTTATAGAATTCGGAAGTTAATCCATCCACACCAGGGGATTTATTTAACTTAAGTTCCTTAATAGCATGTAAAACTTCCTCTATACAAATAGAATTATCACACAATTCTTTTTTGTCTTCACTTATAGATTTAGTATTAATAAGGTTAAGAAATCAGAGGTATCCTTTTCATTAAATCTAGATTCATAAAGAGAGCTATAAAATGATGAACAATAACCAGCAATAGATCTTGGGTCATGTGTTAATATACCATTAATATTCAAATGTAAAATTGTATTTTTTGAATGACTTTTTCCTAATTGAAAAAAATAAGCTGAGTTTTGTTCACCCTTCTCCAGCCATCTCTGTCTGGATCTAATGAAGGCCCCCTCTGCTCTCCTTTTATAAATATCATCTAAATGGTTTTGAAGAGTAATCAGTTCTATTTTTTCATTGTCTGAGAAAATAGGGGGAGATCTTTGAGTGAAAGCTGTAATCTTTGAAATTATATTTTCTTCTTCATGTTTCCTGGCTTTGGCTAATACACTTCCATAATTTCTTAAAAATTTACCAATTTCGAACTTCAATAATTCCCAGTTATTACAATAATCATTACTCAGTTGAGCTAAATTCCAATAATGTGCAATCAATCTGCGAATGGTCACCTTAACAGATTCGTTGTCCAGAATTGAATTATTAAGTTTCCAATACGAATTATAATGGTTGTTGGAAAAAGATTGTAGGCCAACATTAATAGAAACTGCTTTATGGTCTGTCAGTGGCATAGGAAGAATGTTAATTAAAATGTTTTCTTTCTGTAAGCTACAAGAAGTTAGCCAATAATCAATACGAGACATGGCAGTACATGCCTTATTGTTCCATGTGAAGGATTTTAAATTAGGGAATTTCTCCCTCCAAATGTCTTTTATACCAAATTTCTGCATAAAGGCCTTAATTCTGATATTGGAAGAAGTTGGAGTACGAGGAGGCCATCTGTCAAGGGAATTGTCTAAAGTAATATTAAAATCACCGCCAATTAATATAAGTGAATTTGGGAATTTAGATAAACAATGTGTTAAGCGAATTTCTAATGTATCAAATAAGTCATCGTTTTTCACTTTTAGAGTTGTACCCATAAAAATTGACTAGAATTAGAGTCAAAAGATCAAATTTTGCAACTAAAAGAATGTAATGACCAAGAGTATCCACATCAGAATATAAAATATCTCCTGAAAACCTACTTTTCAAAATTGCTACTCCTGCTGAGTGCTCAGACCCATGTGCAAACCAAATATCATTACCCCGTTGTGCTTTCCAAAAACTAACATCATTGGGGGTTGAATGAACTTCTTGAAAAAAACAAAAGTCAGACTTCTGCTGCTTAGCAAATAAAAACAAAGCCTTAAGTTTAACATTTAACCTCAAACCCCTGGCATTAAGAGTAATTATCGAAAATGACATATAAAGATATATGAATTAAAAGAATAAACAATGAATAGAAGGGACAGGAACAACTTGAAATATTCCATTCCCAACAAGAATAAGTGAACAATGTAATTATCAACCCAGCCGTAAACCTATGAGAATTACTTCAAACAATATTCAGTAATTATTTGGCATCAGATGAAGAGAAAGAACTTACACGAGCAACAGGTTGAAAAAAGGTGTTCATACGTTATGAGACCGCAAGTCCACATCTTCAGGGTGGTGGATGCATGGCTTTCCCATCAACAAACGCTTGCCCTCCGATAAAGAATGCTCTCTTCCCTTCCTTTCTAGCAGCTTCCACCAATGGCCACAGTTTCATCCTTAGCATCCTGTCTGCCTGAGTCAAATCCTCGGTGAATCTCAGCTTGTGGTTCCTGAGGTAATCGGAGTGTTTTGCTTGCCTCCACACCAGATCCCGCGTAGATCTTTTCGCGAAGCGAATAATCACCGGTCTTGGCCTGTTGTCCAGCTTTCCCAGACGATGCGCAATATCGATGTCAGCTTGAATCGCCACGTTTAAGTCAGGAATCATGGGCGTCGCTAGGCCATTTTTAGGGGGGCTATAGCCTTAGTCCCCTTTAAATTTAATATCGAAACGGCGGCAGACTTCGATCGGCTCCTCCCTGTCTTTCAGAGCGTTCTTCAAAAAAAAAAACCAAAAAAAACAACAACAACATTTGACTCCTTACGCATGCATAACTCGTGCAGTGCAATAACGACGTGATTATCAGCTGTCGCACTTTTCGTAATGTCATTAGGCTATAGCAGTTTATTTTAAAAATGGAGAGCTTCCTTGTGCTAAGTAGGCCTGCCCTCTACTAAACATTTTTCTAGTCAACTAGTCGCACGTTATATTAAATTGATTTATATTATAATATATTAACCATACTTCAATATAGGCTATAGGCAGACGTATTAGGCTAGAGCCTATTCCGCGCTCAAGCTCGCGCATAAAACAATTGCCTCAAAGCACCGGCAAAGTGATTATGAACGTGTCGGGGGAAAAGAAGACATTTTAATTATTTATTAATAAACTAGTGCATTCTGAGTCAGTGTCGGGTGCAAAGATGAGGTTGCAGAATGCCGACGCTGACTCGCCATCTCTACATGGACGTGCCTTTAATAGAAATGGACATTTTCATACGGACTACAAAATTAAAGAATATTACAAAATCGAGTGGGCGAGTTTTCCTTATATTTATTTTATTATTCATATAAAAATTATAATAACCTGTTTTGGTTATATGTACTATTAATTGCAGAAGTTGCGCTCAGCAAAAATGACGCGAATATTGATGGTTCAAAACGAGTTGCGCGGTGTCCCCACCACTTTTCAAAGCAAAGTTAAGCCACTGGATCTTGGTATTATTCAGATTCACAGTAGATTTACAGTTCCCTTTCGATACTTCACTCGTACTGCGTCTTGCTTAAGACGCATATGGGAAAAAAGCCTTTTTTCTCATGAACTGAAGCCTTTTCATTCACGCAGTGAAAATGCACGGCCATTGGTTCGTGCAGAGCTTTAAAAAAACGAACCAATGGCTCCGGAGGGGGGGGG